TTCCTCCTGTACACACCACACTGAGGATCAAGCCCACAACCCAGGCATGTGCCCTGACCAGGAATTGAACCATGACCTCCTGGTTCACAGGTCGACACTCAACCACTGAGCCACCCTGGCCGGGCTCTTCAAATGTTCTGACACTGTCCTGTCCCTCACTGATCTCCTCTGTGGCCCGGTGTCACATTATCTCTATATCCATGGACTCTGCATATTTCAAACCCCAGCCGAGTGCAGTCCCACCTCTTCCAAGACCCTTTCCCTGAGTCCTGTAGTTGGCAATGCTTTCACACTCGCTTGCACCGAAATGGCAGTAGTTCTATCTGGAATGCATGTCCCTTGTCATCTTTAGCATTGCGCTTCTGTAAGCCATCACAGAGTAAACTGCTTGGCATCAGAATCTGTCTTAATGAATCTGTTTATTCCTTTCTGAGCCTTGTGTCAAGTCACAAATAAGAAATTAATTAATAGATTGATCTGTCATTCTTTGGTACTAGGTATATTGAATTCGGGGGTTCTCCAGATAGTCTATGGGGGATATAGCTCAATCCTGAAGAATTACCAAAGATGTGAGCGCTAAGAAGAACGCTGTCTGTTAACATTGAGTCAGTAATGACCTTGACTGTTGGTGGTGGTCCCGGAGTGCCTGGGGGGGTGTCTGAGGGGCTCAAGCGCAGTGTTCCTAAGGCCTGGCCCAGGTATGGGGCCCCTTGTTGTTTTCTTAAAGGGGTAAGGGCCATAAGGCAGTTTCTCACCTGCCCAGACAGGTCTTCAAGGGCTAGTGCAGAAACTGACAAGTACATCCTATAGAGCCATTCACGGCAATATTTCCCAAACATTTCTGAGTATTAGCATGTGTTTTGCACGCTAGAAGTCTGGGGCCAACTATGTGAATTATTGAAGAAGTATGGAAATCATAATCATTTAAATAAAAAAGCCCATCGACAGAAACTGCAAATTCAGAAACATTCAAGTCATTTAATTTGTTACAAATAAATATTATTTAACATACTAGACATAATAAGTACATCATTTTTTTTTAATTTTAAAAGTCAGCCTGAATGTTTTGTCTGCAAAGATAACCTCTATTAGCAATCAGGCTAAGTGGCATTGTATTAGCTCCTATTTGGGGTTTTGAATTGTTTTGCTCTCTTTGAATTGTCTGCCAACCTCATCTGTTCGTTGCTGGTGCTGGAAAGACTGTGAAGCTCGCAAAGTCCCCGGTTAAAGGCTTCAGAGAAAGCCAAGTTGAGGTTCCCTTTTCCCCAACTCCCTTCATTTTTCAGCGACTTGTCGCCCAAGAGGTATTTGTGCTGGTGCCTCTCCACCCCGCGCAGGTGTTCCTTCTCCTCCTGTCAGTCCACACGTTTCCTGGTCGTGTGTAACCTCCCTCACTCCGAGGAGGAACCGTTCCAACATCTCCCAGGAGAAGGCTCTGTTGCCTACGATGAGGAAACTATTTAATGACCACTTTGCGCAATGCTCGCAATATGTTTTAATGTGATTACTGATATGAAAGTTTAATAAGCAATATCCTGGGTAATTTATTAATGTCCCTCAATTTTTACATTTTCAATATTCATGACCCTTCTATTCATAAAAGTACATCTTTTTTTTTTCCTTCCCGGTGCCCAGGTGCCATGCCACAGTCTCTATATCTCAGGCTGCATAATGGGAATGTCCAAGTGACACCTTCCGCTGGGCTGGCTGATAATTAAAATGCCAGACAATCTAGTGACAAGGGCCTTGGAAATATTTATGTGTGATAAATTATTAATTTATGTTCTATTCAAGATGGTTTCCATGTGATCAACATTTACTTATCTTGATAATTAGATGGGGCAATGTGTGGTGTATCTAAGTTATGCCATACATTTTCTTCTAATTTTCCTCCCCAGTGATGATTTTCAGCTACCCAAATAAGCTCCTTTTGCATTTATGAGCCTACAGAATTTGGACTCTGTTTTAAAAAAATCCCAGTTTAAGTAGTTAAAAGCTCATAAGTAACCAAAATGAAAAAGACTCAAGAAAACACCCAAGACTCTTCCTAGGCCCACCCATTAGCCACTTGTTACTGAAAATGTCTGGGTGAGAAGAATCTGCTTCGGGACCCTGGCTACACGGATGAGACCTTGAATAAATAGTTTGGAACAGGCTGCTCATTCTCCGGGGCAATGCGTGGAGGCGGCGCCGGCCACCTTGTGGGCTTGAGACTTTACCTTCAGTTAGGCGAGTGAAACAGAGGCCACTGTGTGCCACCAGCCCTTCACACACAGGCACTGGGTCTCGTGTCAGAAATGATGCTGATGAACAGTCATTTACAAGAATGCGTGGGCCTGATTTTTCTTAAAGATGGATTCACTTCCCTGTGAGGTTGTCCAATAGGTGAAAAATGCAGAGGAAAGAGCTCCACAGATTCAATGTGGAAAAGAAAGTAAAACAAGAAAACAACAAACAAAAACCACTCTATGCTTTGGAGTGTTTTCTTTTTCTTTTTATGATTGATGAAGAATGAGCAATTTTTGACCTGGTCTATTAGAAGACTAGTTTTTGTTATTTCACTATCATGTGTGCAAATTCTGAGCCACACTGTACTGCATGTGAAAATAATTTCATAGACGTTTACAAACCATTTCTTATAGTTCTAGAGGCCTCAGATACAGTATATAAATATACATTGTGACATATTTATGCATTTCAGTTCTCTATGATATGTTTTGAAACTTTATTTGCTATTTTTTCATATCACTTCATATTATTATTTTAAAACAATTTCTTAGTGATTTCTTCCTCAGTACTTTCGTTCTTTTATTTTTCTCTTTCATGGAAGCCATGTTCTTTGGAAGCTTGTTTAGACCAAGTTAATGGCCTTTTAGGCTTCCTCCACGTGAATAGGAGTTCACTTTTTGAATAATAAGAATAATATGTCATGCGGGGGGGCATCAGGATTTTAGAGATGCTTAGGTGGGGCATGGCCAAAAAAAGGTTGAGAACCACTGGTATAGACCCTGAAACTCCTCCTCCAATTTGGTAGTCTGAAAGATAATAAAATGTTAAAATCACTTATGAGAGAAGAGGAGGAGGAGGAGTAAGAGAAGAAGCAGGAGAAGGAGAAAGAGACCGACTTATCCTTTATGAATGCTCAGAAAAGGTCAATCTTAGTGTCTTATTGGTATTGGAGATTAGTATTGATTTTAAATTCACTTCTTTCTTGGAGATATTTTATCTCAGAAACAAATTTATTATTAATATTTTAGGTTGCTTAGCACAAGTGGAAGTAGAATAACTTAAGGCACAACTGACTCAGTTTTAGAAAGATAATCAGTACTTAGATTGTGTAACATTTTCTGGAAGACAAATGTGTCACTTGTTGCTTCTAAAACCATGACAAGAAATCTGGATTTTCTTAGAGCCATTTCCCAGTAGGGTATTTTCCATCCCATCCTACCTTGTTCTTGATCACGCATGCCCACAGACACGCACTGGGTAACACTTCTTCTGGCTTCATTGCATGGCATATTCCATTCTTGTTCGTAAGAACATTTCCAATCAAAGTAACATGACACCCAAGTTGCAGAACTGTGTGATGGCATGTATAGTGCTTGTGGGTTCCTTGTAGTGAAATTGCCTTACCTGGTCTCCTGAATGGTGATTACCCCCTTGGAGAACTGATAACAGTGGGATGCACCTTCCTGTAAGTGACATGTGTGTCGCTGTTTTATAATGCATTACTTTATTTGCCAAGATCGCCTAACTTATCCTAAAGATTTCTGGCCAACCAGGAGATGGCATATTCCTCTTGCATCATTGTATAGTTAAGCCACAGGGTGCAACTCTGACCACGTTTTCTTTGCATGGATATTCCCCTCAGTGGAAATGTCCTTGGCATCTGCTTCTCATGACTTGGGGTTGCCCCATCTGGTCTGAGCTACAGAGGTTAGCACCTCAGCTCTTCCTGGGGGCTGGTCCTAGGCCCTGATCTCACGGTGTCCTGAGAGCGGAGGTAGCTGGGAGTGTAGGGAGGCCTCTGTGTGATAATCTAACCAGCGTGCAGAGTGTAAGTGGCTCTGCTGGTGCCCACTGTCCTGCAGTGTCCCAGCTCGGTCCCCGCCCTTTTCTGACACCCAGGCTGCTTGTCTCCACTCTTGTCAACCTTTTCCTTTTATGTGTGTGTGTGTGTGTGTGAGTGTGTGTGTGTGTGTGTGTGTGTGTGTGTGTGAATTCTGTCATCAGAGCACATAATTGGATGTCACACATTCAGAAAGTCTCTGAGTCTACCATGGCGATCACCAGCTGTGCTCCGGCCCCTCACCGGATGTGACCACACTTCATCCCTTTGATGATGGGCTTAGAGCTCCCCTTGGGAGGGTGCCTCATAGAAATGTGTGGGTGCTCTCTGGTACATACATAAGGATACCTATTATGTGTGTGCATTGAGACGCTGGGGTTAACACAAGTTATAGCCATTTGCTTTTTTTTTTTCTAGAAGAAACATCTATATTGAAAGTAGTGGCCGGTCACATAGAAATTCAGCCAAACTTTTTTTTTGTTAAGTCGATGTAAATCTCCCATGCTGTTTAAATGTCGGAACTAAATTTACCAAACTTGGCAGATTTTTAAAGCGGAGCAGGACTGCCAAGTGTTCCCAATTTCAAGCAGAGAGTTCTAACACTTCCTGCAATCCTCGCAGGAGGCACCTGCTGGTAATTGCCACTTCACAATCCCTTCCCCGGCGCCTACCTGGCGAGCTGGCATCTCTGTACCCCAACGCTGGTTACAGTGATGATAAAGTGTCAGGACAGAATGGTCCAAAATAAGCCGCAGCTGCCCGCAAGGCAAGCGCCTTCCCACCACATCTTCCTGCCGGAGAAGCCTTGGGATTAGACTGCGGCTCTTGACATCACAGCCAACTGGTTTCCCCAAACAATAAAGGGGGTGGGTGTGGGAGACAGAAACACGCCCCCCCAGATATGACTCGGCCTCTTTTCCCATCTAATCAGGGCCTGCTGTCCGAGATCCTTCGGAAGGAGGAAGACCCGCGGACGGCCTCGCAGTCCCTCCTGGTGAACCTGCGGGCCATGCAGAATTTCCTCAACCTCCCCGAGGTGGAGCGGGACCGCATCTACCAGGACGAGCGGGAGCGGAGCATGAACCCCAACGTGAGCATGGTGTCCTCGGCCTCCAGCAGCCCCAGCTCCTCCCGGACCCCTCAGGTGAGATGTGCGCCCCGCGGACGTTTCACTCTCTGCCCTGGAAGCAGCTGGCCGGCACTGCGAGTTTTTCGCGGAAACAGACGTAATTCAGGGTTCTGAGTCCACTGAGCGTGTTGCTGAGAGGACAGGGAACCAACCCTATGCAGTGGGCTGTCCTTTGCGATGTCCTGTGCCGTTGGTGTCCCTTTAGGAGCAGAAGTACCATCCTTCCTCCCGCGGCAGGAGAGCAGGGGATGGAGGGGGGAGAGGAGGGAGGCTGTGTCCACCTACAGCTGCTTTGTCATCAAGGAAGGAGCGAGGGGTTTGTGTGAAGCTGAGTGTGCGTGGCCAGCGCCCTGCTTTTCCTTACATCGTGTTTATCCCAGTGAGGGGAGGTATTGGGGGGCAGGGGGCGCAGGAGGATGCAAGCTTGGCTTTGTGTGATCTGAGGAAGACAGAATGGGGAGTGGCCTGGCGTGATGGGAGCTCCCATGTGCAGGGACCCCTCACAATGGCTGGATCATTCACGGAGCCTTTAGAACATGGTCATGGGAAGGTAGGCCTTCATTATTCTGCTTCCCAGGTGACCCCCGGGACTCCAGGGCGCAGCTTCCCATCCTCCTCTCTCCACAGCTGTAACGCATTCTGTTCTCAGTTCCTCTGGCCGATGTGGGCAGCTAGTCACTCTGTGGGCTGCAAAGATCCTCACTGAGGGGTCGAGCCAGTCACGAGTCATTTTCCATTCAGATCTGAACCCCTCATTTCTAGCCTATTACCTATGATCCTTAAGCTTCACTACTCTCTGGGTTGAGGACACAGCCATCTCATTCCACTGTTGCCAGGATGGTTGCAAATTCCCTCTCAGTGCTAGTTCTCAAGATAGTCAACAGATAGACATTTGTACAAATCAGAAAAATGGGTACTTTGAAATCAAAGGACTTTTTGCTTAGATGCTATAGTGCAGTGATGGCGAACCTATGACGCGTGTCAGAGGTGACACTCGAACTCATTTTTTTGGTTGATTTTTCTTTGTTAAATGGCATTTAAATATATAAAATAAATATCAAAAATATAAATCTTTGTTTTTACTATGGTTGCAAATATCAAAAAATTTCTATATGTGACACAGCACCAGAGTTAAGTTAGGGTTTTTCAAAATGCTGACACGCCGAGGTCAAAAGGTTCGCCATCACTGCTATAGTGTGCGCTTGTGCGTGTGCGTGTGCGTGTGCGTATGTGTGTGTGTGTGTGTTTAATGAGTTTGTCTTCTTGTAAGTTCCAAAGAACGGATTAAGCATACAAGCAGAATTGTATTCTAGTAGAAATATTTGAGCTTTTTCATATACATCCGTTTTCTTTCACATTTTCTAACTTTCATAATTTTGTACTCTGCAATAAATTTTTAACTGAAGATCATTTTCTATCATGCAGTCAAACTTCGATGCTTACACTTTAGTCTTTAGCGAATGATGAGCTGTAATGACTGTTCAACCAAAAATAAGTCTCTTAACTGCTTACTTTGGACAAGTGTAACCAAGCTTTTATATGGGATTTTCCCCCCCCGAATTTTGGGACATACGTATTAAGCTATTGAGTTGGGTGAGCTGTTGATTTGCACTAATATTTATTTCTATTAAATCCGCCAATATTTTTGCTGCTTCTGAAGTCCGTTAAAGCATGATGGGAGAGTCCAGCCATGCTTCCTGGCTGTGCACCCGCACAGCTCTCCTCAGAAAGTCACTCCCACTTGTTAGAAAATCCCGCAGGTCTGTGTGCTCCTTCGTGATACTTTTCCAGCACCATTGTCTTAGGCATCTTCTCAAAGACCTGAGAGCTTTCAGAGCCAGACCAGCTTAGAAGGCTGCACAGAGCCAGTAGTTTGCTTTTTTCAATAGCACAGAATCCCACCTAGAAAATTCCTAGGCAATGGTGCCCTTCGGGACAAGTATAACAGGGAAATGAATCGTTTAATGTCACAGTTTTGAGATTTATGAAAATAAATGTAAAATGTTTTTCTCAGAATATTTTTGAGACTACAGCTATGGCACCAGCATTTCACATTCTCCGGGTCATTCTTGTTTTCCTATTGGTTAAACATTGAGAAAGGGGAAGTTGTTAAAACATTTCATGATTACCTATGTACTCAGAATTCTTACTGACATGCTTCAGCAGTGAAGGTCCGTGGCGAGTAAAGCTTCCACATGAGAAAACATGTTAGATACCCCCTGAGGCAGCCTTTCGGTGGGAGTCAGCCTTACAGAGGTTCATGGAGATTATTTTCCAAACCCCAACTGGTTTAAAACAAATTGAAGAATTTTAAATTTATTTATTTTATTATTATTTTTTTTAATCCTTACCCGAGGATATGCTTATTGATTTTAGAGAGAGGGAGGGAGAGAGAGAAACATTGACTGGTTGCCTCTCATATGCACCCCTACTGGGGATCCAACCCACAACCTGGGTATGTGCCCTGACCGGGAATTGAACCTGTGACCTTTTGGTGTATGGGATGACGCTCCAACCAACTAAGCCAGGGCAAGAGATTTCAGATTTGAAATTAAACCTCCAGAGTCTCTTCTCATACGGCTCCAATTGGCCAGTAACCCTTGATGTACTTAATAATAACAAAACAATACAAGGATAAGAGTGATCATTTATTGAGCACTTACTGTGTATCAGGTATTGTGAGCATTTTGCATGAATTGAATCTCCACTGGTTTGCATTGTTATCCCCATTTTACAGATGAGAAAACTGGGGTCACATGGCTGAGTGGTAGAGCTACAATTTGAACTCAGGTTGCTCTAATTCCAAGCCCTGGGCTCCTAACAACACAGTTTAATGCTTCAAGGGCTTTCATTTTACCCCCAGGGTTTTAGAGAGGATTTGATCAGTCAGGTGAGAGAGTCAGTGAGGCTAATAAGAAACCCGAGTTGAGAAAGGCGGAAATAATGTGCTAAAACATGCACTCGACAGGGAGAGTACTAGAAATTTTGAGAAGGAAAAGGAATTTCTTGCAAAAAGTGACAGATGATTGGATTGTTTTAGGAAGACTCCCAACTGGAGGGCAAGCAGATTCCTGTGAAACTAGCATTGGTGTAACCTGGAGATTTGGGATGCAGATTCGCACCGTGGCCCTGAGCCCACGCTTTGGCACCTGAAAGGATTGTATTCAGAATAGGGTTGTCTCACTTGCTTTTGCCTGTCTTCCAGGAGGTCCAGTAGCATCTTTCATTATCACTTGTCTTCATCTGTAAAATGAAAATAAAGTCTAACTCATTGCGTTTTTAGAAGAATTAAATGAGATAACAGAAGTAAAATGCTTTCTTGAGGGCCTGGTACATAAAAAGCACAGCATCAGTTCTTCTTATTTTTTGGTAATAATTAGAAAATCGTATGAGACAGGGAGGTCAAAGGGGAATGGCAAAAGTCACCGATGGCTCTTAGGAATCCAAACCGTCAGGGGAACTTGGGACATTCGCTCTGGCTTCGAGGTCATTGAGAATGATCCCATAGTGTCCAGACTACCTGCCCTGTCTTCCCCCAAACCTGTGATGCTCAGACCGGTGGGGACAGCTCAGGGCATCCATAGAGGGACAGTGGTGATTTGGGGGCTACTCTCTTGGTTTGGGATTAAGGGTAAGTGGGGACAAAAGGAAAAACAACCCACTTTAGACCAAAACAGCTGGCTACGCTCATGAAGCCAAGGATTAGGGCGGATGCCTGCTGCCAGGGTTTCTGACGAAGCCACCCAGCCCCCTGGCATCACACAGCAGGGCAAGTGCTGGCCGTCTTTTCGATCAAGTGGCACCAAACGTTCCAGGGTTCCCACAACCCCAAGAAGTACAGACACCTTCGCTATTGTCCTTCATTTGTCTCCGAAGCTGATGGGAAATCATTCAATTAAAACGAGCGCTGCAGAATACATAAAACCACAATATGAGTTTAAGAAAATGAAAACGCCACATCAAAGGCATTCCGAAGCCTCGTTTCATGAAATGAAATTTTGTTTCATTCCCACTGATTTCCTAGGTGAAATTAGGTGACGGTCTGGGTCGCATAATGATGATAACGATGGGGACCCACACATACTCGGATGACATACGTGAGGCTTTAATAAAGAATGAGAGCGACTCTGGGGAGTGCATTCAATTGAGTAATAATTTATTATTTAGAGACCGCTACCCATTTACTCATTTTCTTTTTTCTGGAAGAATTGGCCCTCCCTCCGAGGTATGCCATTTTTAGAAAGCAAGAGGTAGCTGTGTGTGTCCTGCGTGCGTGGCCGGCAGTTAAGTGATGGCGTTCAGTTCCCCGGGCGCGGCCTACCTGTGAGCCGCCTGGGGTTCCGTGAGGGAAGGAGCAGGCTGTGCAGGGCTCCGCCTGTCCTATAGGAATGCACCGCAATTATTTCCAATCACAATTAACGCGATTAGAATAATGGACAGGAAGTGTCCCTCTGTAGCTAATGCTGTTTGGCATCAGCTGACTGAAATCCTTGGGTAATTTCTGCACAGATGGCTGGGCTGAATGCGGCACTTTTTGAATGATTGTTTTCACGGTCTCTTGGTAGGCCAAAACCTCCACACCGACAGCAGACCTCCCCATCAAGGTGGACGGCGCCAACGTCAACATCACAGCTGCCATTTACGACGAGATCCAGCAGGAGATGAAAAGGGCCAAGGTGTCCCAAGCCCTGTTCGCCAAGGTGGCTGCAAATAAAAGTCAGGTGAGCGGTGCTTAAAGGAGCAGAGGCGAGCGCCGGGGTTCCACTGTGCTCCTCCTCCCTCCCATAAAAATACATCTGTTCCCATAGTAATAACAACAGCAGGAATCCCGAGGGGACCCGTCGTGTTCCGAGTTTGGCGCCACAGTTTGCTTTTATTCCCATTGGAGTTCAATATAGAGACTAAGTCAAAACCCAGACTTGTGTCTGTTAAAGAATCGTTGAAAAAAGAATTGGCCTCAAAAGATTTCTCTTCTAATTCTAAACACTGCTATGTATTCTTTCTTTCTTCTGTTCTTTTTTCCCTTGCTCTCTTTCTCTCTTTCTTTTTTGTGTGTGTATGAGCCAAACTTGATATGTACAAAACAGCATCTTTCTGAGACCGCATCTCAGCCACGTCTCATCGCCTCTCACTCCCAGCAGGGGCCTGGCTGACATTGGTGTGATAACTGCTTTTCCAAGCCCCAGAGACACCTTGTGAGTCAGGTGTTCCTTTTATGTGTAGAATACAGTTGTTTCTCCAGGAGAAAACACACGTGAGGGCCCAGGGTGTCACCCTAACCCCCTCTCTAGATCCGCCCACCTGCTTCTCAGTCTTTGACATTTCTGTAAGAAAGAAAGTAAATTTTTTCACCGGGGACCAGCGCAGACAGATGCTTAGGGTTTTGGAAATTTATTTCTGAAAGCAGCAACCGTGGATGGGATCCACTGTCTGGTTTGGAGTAAAGGGAATGGAAAGTGGGTTCCACATTTTCTAAGATGTGGGAGTTGGGATGGTGGCACAAAAATGGGCTAAAGCCATGGTCGGCTAACTGCGGCTCACAAGCCACATGCGGCTCTTTGGCCCCTTGAGTGTGGCTCTTCCACAAAATACCACGTGCGGGCGCACACATACAGTGTGAAACTTCGTGGCCCATGCACAGAAGTCGGTATTTTGTGGAAGAGCCACACTCAAGGGGCCAAAGAGCCGCATGTGGCTCGCGAGCCGCAGTTTGCTGACCACTGGGCTAGGTGGATGTGCCTGCTTATTTGTCCCCGAGATGAACAATGACCTAATGCACGGCGGAGGGAATGAAGTTGGCTGCAGCATCATTCTGAGAGCCCTTTGATTCTGAGCTTGATTTCCTCTGTGGCCTTTCATGACTAATGTTTCCATCCCTGCGATGTAAGTGGTAAAAAGATCCATCGTCTCCCCAACAGATCTTCCGTTGTGTGCTATGAAGAAAGGAAGTTACTGAATATTATGTTTCTATTAAGCAAGAAGGTTTTCAATAAAAATCAAGTTTCAAAAAAGATTTTATATATAATTTGAGAGAGAGAGAGAGAGAGAGAGTTAGGTGCTATATTTAGGCTAATTATGGGGCTTAGCCATTTTTACCTGCTGCTTGGCAGTTACCTGACTTAACTTATTTTTCAGATGTTGATAAAGGGAAAGGAGTAGAAGATCAAGGAACTTTGATGAGGATGGAAATATTTGTTTCCCTTTCCAATGTTAATGTAGTAATGTTTCCAGATTATTCCTATTATCACTCATCGGTGAAACTGTTGAAAGGCAGTTTGCTAAGATTTGATGTCCAACCAAAGAATGAAATACATGAAAAGAAAATACCATGGAGCCTTCCTGAACTGTTCGATGCATAAAATCCCATGGACCACATGGCAAAATATAATGAGAGTTGGAGCTGTTAAACGAATAAAGCTGTTAAATGCATAATGCCACTTGGCAAAACTACTGTGCATTTAATGGTTTTCCACTGTGTAATAAAGGACATATGTGGTAGATGTGCAGCGGGTATAAAAGCTACACAATTGATTTTGCAAACCTGCCCCTTAGTCGTGACTTGACGTAAATATAAAAGTTTCACTCAGTCCTTTTTTTTTTTTTTAATAAGAAGCTTTCAAGAAAAAATGAAGACCACAGTCTGAGAACTTGATTCAAAATGCCTGTGATCTTCCTATTGGCTTGGCACCGTGGCTCCTGGAAAGAGTGATGCCCTCAGCCTCCAGAAATAACTCAGGTGGCTGAGTGAAAGCCGCGGGTGCCAGGCCCACAGTTAGCGCTCCAAATGCGTGGTGCCTCCGAAGAACGCGGTAGCCCCGGTTCTGTAGAATCCGGAGGAAAATGTGGTTCCGGGAATTCAGATGCTGAGGGATGAGACTGAGCCTAAGTAGGGATGCGGCGCTTTGAAGTTTTTCTGTTTTTCTTTGGGACCGTGGTCTCCTGCTCATTGGTGAATGGGGAACCTTGCTGGAAATAGCTGACGGGATGGGCACATCAGATGCTGAGCTTTTTTAAATGGTGATTTAACAGACAACATTCACTCCATTTTGTGAGCACCAGCTTTGGCTTCATAAAAAGCATCTTTAGTGAAATCAGTTGCATGATTTGGTACTTTGCACGTGTCTTTGGTGCCTACCCACAGGGTGCATGCACGGCCACGTACTTAACCCCTCCAGGCTTCAGTGGGACGTGGCCACACTCTCCTCCTTGCACTGTAGGATGGAGAGCAAAGGTTCCCCTCCCTTACCTGCTTTCCTTTCTTCCCTTCAGTATGTTTCTTTGGAGGGGTCAGGAGTCCTTGGAGGGCCAGAGGAGGCTGCTGGGTAGCAAGGCTTCTTCATTCTCTCTTGGATGTGAAATCAGGGGAACCTTTCATTAGGAGCTTGGGGAAAGGGAGTGGGCATGGAACCTTGAAGGCCCAGTTCAAACAGACACCATGGCCCCTCCCCTTCCATATTAACGATCTTTCAAAATAGAAATAAACCCTCCATTAAACCACATTCACTCCTTGGTGTCAGTTGCTGTCCTCAGCTATTAAGAATAATACCTAACACTGTGTGTGAGGCAAGCTTTGAATGAGAAGTAGGAAAAAGGAAGGAAAATTTTAGAGAGATTGCAGGTTCTGGGCCCAGATGGTCCCTGAGGGCTTAATTGTTGAGGGACACAATGGGAAGAGGGATTCAGAAAAGGAGCTGAAGGAGTGACAAGCTTTTGAGGTTTTGCTTAAGGTCCTGTTGGTGGGATATATTCCTGGGAAGTGTGTGTGATTCCATAGTGTGTGGGTTATGTCAGGATGCATTTGCATACAGGTCTCAGTGGCAGGTCCTTTTTAAAATAAGGCAAAAAATTAAGGAGAAACAGATAACTTTACATAAAGAAAAATACTGGATATATTATTTGGTTTGTTTTCCTTTTATTGCTCTTTGCTATTGGAGTTTATAACACATTCAGTATATGTGCTAACATAATCTTTTCATTCAGTCCTGGGTTACCATATTAATCTTTGCTTTTGTATCTCTTTTTAAAAAATGTCCCAGGCACAATTTAGTTGCATATATTTTTTTTAAAAAAATACCTCTATTATATGTTAAAGTAATAATATCCTCACTTTAGAAAATTTAGAAAATGAAGAAATGTATAAATGAGGAAATCACGAGTCCCTCATGATTCTACTACCCAGAGATAGTTACTGTTCACATTTTAGAGTCTTTCCTTCTAATGTACATATATGTATGGGTGTGCACAGGGATGTTTACGATCATACTGTACGACACATAATTATAAGACAAGTCAAAAGTACATTTTTTTAAGGCTAACTTTTTATGTAAGGGCATAAAAATATTATCTTTAGTCTCATTAGTTACTTTCTTTTTTTAAAATATATTTTATTGATTTTTTACAGAGAGGAAGGGAGAGAGAGAGAGAGTTAGAAACATCGATGAGAGAGAAACATCGATCAGCTGCTTCCTGCACACTCCTTACTGGGGATGTGCCCGCAACCAAGGTATATGCCCTTGACCGGAATCGAACCTGGGACCCTTCAGTCCGCAGGCCAAAGCTGCATCCACTGAGCCAAACCGGTTATGGCATAGTTACTTTCTTTTCCTTTAGAAAATATTATACAAGGATCAATGGTTTGCCTCTTTGCACAATTTGTCTTATATTATGAATTTTCCTTTTGGGAGATGGCTTTATGGGGGCTGAGTTAGCTCAGGCTAATGGAAGCAGATCTTTACCCCATCTTTTTGGTATAAACCGTGACAGGAAGTACAGACCATATGATGCCCCATGTAAAATGAGTTGGCGATCTTAGTCTTACTCCTGATGATTTTGCTTTTGCCATCTTGGATTCAGCGTGGAAGGCAGACTGAAATGAGGCAGGCAGCCTCACCTGAGCAGCTGCCCCCTGTTGCTGGGCAGGTTTCTTTGGAACACAGTCATTTTTATAGCCTACCAAGGAGGGCTTTCTACTCTTGTCAACTGGGGTATGGATGCCATAATTTCAGGGCTGTCCACCAACTTCAAATAAAGAACTAAGCCGTTTACACTATAAGTACCGTTTGAAAAAATTATGATGCCACATAGTAAAGAAATTAGATTTCTCAACATTCCTGAATGCCAAACCAAGTAGGCAGTCAACGCTATGAACGCTATGATGTTTCATTGTTGGGTTGAACCTGTCTTTGATTCTCTGCCTTTTCTCTCAGCATAATCTTAGAGGATTAGATTCTAGTGAGATTTTATAAGCAGAATTCCCTCAAGATCTGTATCTACCTTATAGTGAGGAGTTGGGATCTTTTTACTGTGCCCACCATTAGTTATGTTAAGGTTTCATGCCCTAAAACTAGCTTTTATGGGAGCCCTTAATTAGCTATCAACAGAGATTAATCACAGAGTTCATATGCAGATCTTAAAATGTGAGATGCATTTACCCACTGCTAATGTTTATGTACTGGTTTTAAGCGCAACTTGACTGCAGAAACCTTGAGTTGCATGATTTTGCCTGTTTATGACACGGCGCCTTTGGACACTTGCATGCAACTTTGAAACAAGTCAGGTTGGCATATTAAAGCCATGTCTCCGAACACTCCCAGCAATCTTTTCAAGAGGACATTGAGTTAAAGCAGGGTTATACAGTTGGAGAATGTTGGTGCCTATGAATGATTCCTACCACTTTCCTGTAGACACGGTTTATCTTCTCCCTTTCACGGGGCCAAGAGTA